CAGCCTGTCTAGAAAAAAAAAAATAGAAGTATATTGAAAATTGAATAAAGCAAAATGATAAGACTTATATAAATGACCCTAACTTTCAATTTTTTCAAAACTGCCAAGTGCAGACGTTTGAGAATTGGTCAGCGAGTGATGACACCACTTGCAGCGCCCTGCTCTGACACAGAGAGCAGTTGCCATAGGCAGGCTGCTAAGGAGTGCAGAAAAGGAAAAGGTGAAACCCCCCACATGAACAAAGCTGAAAACTGGGGGGACAAAACCAGTTTCCCAAAAGTTGAGGTGTGAGGTCTTGTGTAGAAAATAGTTATCAGGGCTGGAGAGATGGCTCAGAGGTTAAGAGTATTGCCTGCTCTTCCAAAGGTCCTGAGTTCAATTCCCAGTGTCTACATGGTGGCTCACAACCATCTGTAATGGGATCTGGTGCCCTCTTCCAGTCTGCAGACATACACGCAGACAGAATATTGTATACATAATAAATAAATAAATAAATATTTTTTAAGAAAAGGAAGAAAAGAAAATAGTTATCAAACGTAAATATCTGGAGGTGGTCAATCTAGTCTGGGCTCTTCCCTTCTGACCAGCGCATCTATTTCTGCCTTCCCTTCTGTCGTAAACTGCCTGGGAGATGGACATTAATGTTGCTGAGAGCTCGGAGGCAAGAACCATTGCACTCAACTTTCCAAAGCCATACTGCAAAGATGAAGCCACATATTACTTTGCTTCTGAAAGGAAGTAAAACTATAAATAGCTTGGGCACTTTAATGGGTGAGTCCTGTTCTGGATCAGTCCTTGTTTTACTGCAAAACTAATGTTGATTAAAATAATATCAGTGAAATAGTGCTTAGTGGGCCTAGAAAAGTTCTAAAAGTCTAATGTTCTTTAATAGCAAATCATATTCGTAATAGGTGAGGCTCATTAGCATATGCACACACAGCCACTTATACGAAAATATTTCAAAATTTAAAAAAAATGCTAGCACATTTCCCAGTTGTGTATCCTTTACTGTGTTCTATTACTCCCCAGGAACTTCCTGAATACATGTTTTAGTTAGCATCTCATGAAGTTCTTGTCATCACTTGTTCAGAGCATGTCTTTTGGTTTTAATCAAGTTCTCGCTTACGACTTTGGGGAAATGGATGAATCAGTTTGCATGTTATTTAAAATAATAGTTTTCCTTCCAGTAGTCATATTTAACTCTCCTAGCCTGCTACCGCACTTGTAGTCAGGCATAATAATTAAAATGCTTCATCGGCTTGCAGTGGGGCTTTGATAAACAGAATGATCCTTGGAAGATTCCATGGGCACCAGAGATCCTCTTAGGTTTCTCTCTTACTCTAAATATTTTTCATGCCACCATTTCCTTTCCTGCTTCTTATTTTCCATGAAAGTCTGAGGATTTGGGCAGAGGTAAATATCCATAATATGTAGAAACAGGAGATTTATACACAGAATTTTCTAGCTTCAAAGTCTGTGTTCCTTTCTACGCTCTTTGCTTGTGGAGTTGGCTTTAAATTTTTGTTTGCACTTTGATATTTCAAAGGGAAGAGAAAACAAGTATAGATATACCTGACATTTGGTGCTGGCCAGCTTATCTTAATATATTAACCATTAACTTTCTCTGGCAACAGGCAGGCTTCCCAGTCTGGAGACTTTTTTTTTCACTGCTGCAAAAAGCTGATAATGGACTTGAGCTGCCCTGGCCAGCAATACCTGCCTGTGCACGCGCGCGCACACACATGCACATGCGCAAACACACACACACACACACACACACACTTGTTATAATTTTTTATTTGTGAAGTTGTACCATTGAACTTAGAGAATGCCCCCGCGACTTCTGTGAACACGCAAGCTGATCTGGCATTTATCCCCCAACACAATGAAATAAGGAAACTGCAGACTGCTGTGCTTCACCTGTCCCATCATCTCCACGAAGCATGATAATGTCATCTGAAAAAGCATCCCTAAGGGACTTAAGGCAGCCTTGATCAGATCTGCTGTGCACAAGTGCAGAGTGGGTCAGTGAAAACCTGGTCCCTGCTCAGCGGAGCTTAGTACTCATTGGGGAAGTACTGATGAAGGCCATTGCTTGTGTTACAGCTATTAAAATATCACCCATGGTTAGCATACAAGATTTTCAAATAAAGGCCTGCAATTGGACTGCATTTCCATTAGCAGCAATTTTTGATATTGTTATTATTTCACTACTCCGTAGTCAAGTGAAGGGCCCACCTTTAGGAGTTTTTAGGCTTCAAAACACTTCAATTAATTATTTTTGATAAACTAGCCAAATTGTTTGAAAGATACAATATATGTACTTTCACGGGTACTCTGAATATTTATGAACCTTTTGTTGGGATATTTGATCCTATCTTGGAACTGAATTAGAAGAAATCCTAACCGGAAGCTACTTGACAAAACTGCATAGTTGTACAGCTGACTGTCCTCCCAAAACTGCAACTATCAGGGAGAAAATACTTAACATCAGTTAAATAAAAGATTGTTTTTAAATGATTTGGCCACTCATTGGTGGATTAAAGAGCAACACACACTGGTCCGATTTAGTTAACACATCTGCTTTTTTATTTTTTAGAATATAGTCTACATCTGGATTAAAAAAAGTTTTAAATAAACAAGACATAATAACACAGTGGAACCCTTCATCATTCCACGTACGACACGGATAGAATGTCAGTTGGTTCCACTTTAGATAAATCCACTTTCTCAAAATAATATTATTTTCGCTGGCCGAGTGGCAAGCTTCATCCAAGCTGGCGCACAGCCAGTTTACACACACAGGGGTGGGGGAGGGGTGGCGTGGAAGGGATGGGGTGCCACAGGACTACTGTACAGTGTAACAGAAAATCATTAATAAAGTAGTACCGGTTACCGACAGTGCTGTTTGTGCGCTTATCACAATGGAATCGACGAAGTTTCAGAGCAAAGAGATTCGAAATACTTAAGACAGGGTCACTGTTACAAAAAGAAATAGTGCAAACAGGAAAACTGACGCAATCCTAGCAACGCCAGGGCCTCCTCTTGCAGCTCAAAGCAGGGCGGGCAGGAGGCTGCGCCCCGCCTCCCCCCTGCACCCACACCCAGCCAGAAGCTGCCCTCCCAAGTGTGGCAACCCAGCGCTGTGCCCTGGCATGGCCCTTCTCTTCCGGAAAGAAGAACAGAAAAGAAACCCCAAGAAAGGCACAGGCTGAATGAAGGACGTCGGCCCAGTCCCATTCCCACCAACACAGAGAGCAAGCCCCCTCCGGGGGTCCTTGAACCCCCCTCTCTGGCGACTACTTTCCTCTGCTCTCGTGATGAGGCAGGCCCTCTTCTCCACACAACCCCCCACGTACACAGCCCAACTTTGCAGCGTGCCCTTCGCGCCCCACAACCAGGAAGAAAATAGCTTGGAGGAAAGAGAGGGGTGGGAGAGCCGGCCAGAGAGGGTACTGGGCAGCGGGGAAGAGGCCCGTCTCACTGGCCCCAATTACTGAAGCCGATCTCCTGCTTGTATCTGTTGGTGAGGATGTTGGCTTTGCGGGTGAGTTTGGAGAGCACGGTGTGCAGCCCGCGCAGGTGGTAGTGGAACTGCTGCTCCAGATCTTCCTCGCCGGCATCTGCGCTCTCCAGGTGGCTCAGGCCCACCAGGATGTCCTTGGACTTCCAGGTGCTCTCCTCGCTCCCGGCCGGCGGGGACGACGGCTGGTGCAGGACTCCCCACTCGATGTCGTTGCGGATGGACTTAAGCAGCACGTAGTGGCTATACATGTCCCGGGAGGGCGCGAAAAAGCTTCCATTGGCGCTGCCGGGGCTGGGGGCCGGGGTCGTGCGCTCCTCCAGGCAGCCTCCACTGCCTCCTACCTCCACGCCGACCTCGTTGTCTAGCTCCGGCTCGGAGAGTGGCACGTCGCGCAGCAGACTGGGCACCATCACGGTCTGGTCCATGTTGTTCACCGCGCCAATGAAGCGATTCATGGCGTTAAAGAGCGAGTGCTTCTGGTTATAAGTGTCGCAGATTTGCATCATGGTGGCCGAACGGGCGCGGAAACACTGGGACGCTGGTAAACCGAGATAGACCGCTGGCGATGCCTGTCTTCAAGCACTCTCCGAGGCCGGTGCCGGGAGCCTGCTTGTAGCTGGTGAGACGGGATTCCCAGATCCTTCTCCGCCCTCTCTAACTCTGGTTTCTGTCGCAGCCCAGCCCTGCGTGATGCGCGGTTGCTCCTAGCTTTGGCTCGCGATGACAGTGGGTGGTTGGGTTTAGCCTTGACCTGCTTGGGAAGAGACGAAAAGAACAAATTACCCACTGGGTTAGGGTTCCTGGCGCCCCAGTCCGCGCGATGCTCCCACCCTGGCTACTGCTGGCCGGAGACGGCGCCAGGGTGGCTCCCTCGGACCAGGCAGTATCACCTCCTCCAATGCTAGCAGAGGACCTTTGAAAAAAAAAGGAGAAAGGATCTCCCTCAGCCCGGACTCGCCCGTTTCTCCCTTCTAAAACCTCAACGAAAGCAACCATGTTAGCCGGGGCAGCCACAGGGCGGGAACACCCACCTCTTGAGCTGCGAGATCTCCCGGTTCTCAGTGTTTGCGTTGCGGATGGTGGCTGCCCAAGGGCGCTGCTGCGGTCACTAACTGGGCTGTGAGTGCGGGTGGTGGTGGCTGCTTCAGCCCCCTGCCCATTCCAGGTGCTCAATTTATAGTCCAGGAAAGGTGTCCCAGGCACCCAGGACCACCCCCGATGTCTCCTCCTCCTACCTCCTCCAGCAGCACAGATAAAAGGTCCCAGCCCTGACCGCTAGTAACACTCGCCCAACCCTCTCTACCGCGGGGGCGGAGCACGCCACGCCAGGCGGCTCCGCCTCTCGCCTGATACCCGGGCTGAGGCTAGGCAACCCAGCAGGGTAAGGGAGGGTAGGGCTGAGAGGATGGAGCGGCCGCGCCCCAGCACCAAACCCAGAGCAAGCTGGTTGGGGGAGGGAGGGCGAGGCACTGAGCCCAAGGAGCCACCATCCAAACTAGAGGGCGGACTGGCGCGCGCGGGCTGGGCGGACTTGGCGCGCACTCGCCGGGTGGGATGGCCGGAATGCATGTGTGTCCGGGTTGCAAAAGATCCCCTCAATGCGGAATCTAAAGTGGCTGTCGCCCGGAAACTTAGCTTCGGTTTATTATTAGACGTCGGGTAAGAGGGACTCACAGCTGCCCTGACTCCATACCGGGAGTCTTATGTAAGAAGAGTAGCAGAACATGCCGGATGCACGTGGACACGCGGTGCTTCCTCCACGGCCCTGGTCGTGGTCAGTTTGCTGGGGAATGGGAGCGCTGGGGCATTTGGTTCCCTCCTGGCAGGGTCTTTACCGGACTTTCCTACTACTGCTGCCAGGTATGAAGAGCACCCATGTTATTTGACCTATAGATTTTTTTTTCTGCACCAGGAGATCAGAGCATAGCAATGGAGCACGAACCTGGGCCTTGTGGCCTTTTGGCTATCAAAAAAACCTAGGAGAAGGTGCCAGAAGTTAGGTCAGGTGTTCATTTAACAGAAAAAAAATATGGGAATGTATCCAATAACTTTCTGGAGTGTGTCAAGTGCTCCTTTCAAAAGAAAGTTCTTAAGCAAGGGTTACTTAATAAGGCCTGTGTACCTCAGCCCTGGGTGTAACTTTCAAGTTTTACACTTAGGGTTTCCAACCTTCAGCCCATACGCCTTTTCCTAGTTCACTTCCGTCACCACATCCCTCATCCTCCCATCTACTGTGACATTCCTACAGATAATTAGGACTCAAACTTCTAATTTTAAGTTTCCTTCCACTAAAATCTTTAGGGAGGTTTTAGTACGGCATTCCCCTGCAAGACAAAAAGTGCACCTGGACAAGGAGCAACACATAGACGTTTCTCTCTCTTTCTTGAAGAAGCGGTACTATCTACTGAAAACCATGTTTCTTCCCGATTTTGTGGCACAAGGGCTGATAGCAGAAAAAAGCCCCCGGTGACCACAGAAGCCAGTCTGGGGAATCTCACTCCAGTTCACTAGCTCTAGATTCGAACCTATGCTTTCTTTGGTTTGGTTTTTTTTTGAACTTCTCATTCTTCTGCTTTAGTGTCCATGTTCTTTTAGAAGTGAACTAATGTTATCTGCCCTAAGATCAGTGGAAAAAAGACTGTAGAGGGAAACAATGCATTGTGTATTTCAGAAGTACTAGAATCTCCCCCCTCTCTTTCTGCACACAGACTTGTAAACGTTTCCACCTTCTCCGTTTGTCAACAAAATGGAGTGTCTTCCATGTAAGAAACTTTTCTAGTGTCTCTTTAGCAATACAAAGAAACTTCTTCCTGGGTCATGGCAAAGTTTTTTATTAGGGTTCAGGGAGCTAATGGAGGTAAAACTCATTATACATTATACATTATAAAGTATAAAGATTAATTGTACTCAGTATAAGAGTTCATCTAATCTAGAGGCATTGTATGTGAAGAGTTTGAACCCTCAAATATAGGCCAATTGGGCTAAGATGAACCAGAGACGATCTGCACCCAACCATTACCATTTCTTCGGTGCAGGAGAGTATAAAACAGTCCAGGCTTGTTTTAAACCTTATGCCAGATTATATTCAAGGAGGAGGGCTCTGGAAAAAACATATTTAGTTTCCAGTATCTGATTTTTCTCATAACTTAAAATGTAGTTTGACCCCATCCCAGACCCTCTGGATATTTCAAGAATGTACCCTGATGTAAATTTGGAATTGCTCTGAGTTATTTATTAAATGCTAGAATCCTGTCCTCTTTTCTCTGCTACTTAGTACCAACAATGTGATTAACAGCACGCGGAAAACGTAAATCCAAACTGTCTAGCAAAGGAATCCCACTCTGAAAAGACGCCCAACCTAGGAGAAAGCCCCTACCTAGCCCCTTCTCTTTGGCCTCCATACTTCCTCTCGATCAATACGATCAATTCCCTTCCTTCTGTCTGCATCTTCCAGTGTCTTGACTCTCGGTGGCCGTTCTTACACATTTCTTAAACTACGAGAAGATGGCTCACGCACCTGACCTGACGGCAAAACTTCCCAAACCGGGCCTCCCTGCTCCCCATTGCCCACACAATAACTCACACCCACCGGGTAACTCCAGAACGGAAAGGTCCTTAGGCCAGAGCTCTGGGCCCTTGGAATCACCCCACAGCCACCCCTCCTGTCCCAGCCAATCAGAAAGCTTCCGAGAGAGTTATGCAAATGAACCTTTGGCCCTAGCCAGTCGGAAGCCATAGACCCCTCCCCCAAGTGTCCTCTTTCACCCCAGCCCTGAAGAGCTAATGGCAAGCGTCCCTGGCAACCGGCCTGCAGCCAGTTTTCCCCTAACACAAGGCTGTAAAAATATAAAAACGATTCCTGGGGGTCACATGGGTACTAAACGGGTTGGGCCAGGCCCAGTAAGATGTAGGGAGCTTCTCTGGTTGCTCCAGGCACCTACCCTATCTCGTTCTGGAACCAACTGAAAGCTCCCAAGCAATCTGCCCAAGACTCATTTTGTTTAATGAGAAGCATAGCAATCATCAGTTGAGTAAACTTTTGAGTACAGGCTTACGGCAGGGCGCCTTGGTCTCTACTTTTCTAACCAGTGTGCTGGCCTGACATTCTTCACCAGCTCTACTGTTTTCCACAGCTAAAACTCGGGAGCTCTTAAATACTGAATCTTACAAGTCCTTCTTTACTTTAATCAGTAACCAGGAAATGATGCTTAGCTGGCTCATCGTCCCTCTCTCCCCCAAGTAATTCACCAACTCCCCCTCCTGTTGCGTCTCTTTGATGGCTTAGGAAAATGTGTCATTTTAAAGGTGGCAAACTGCTAAGTAAAGGAGTGAAGAAGAGTAAACTGGTGAAAGAAGAAACACTAGAGAAATGAAAGATCTGCCTCGGGGCTGGACAGAAAGTGATATTTTCAGGCTAGAAACTAGTCCAAGCCAAGACAACTGAGACCCTTGATGAGACTGATAGAGAAGTTAGAGGCAGTAGCTTCATGAAAGCGCCCCTGGAAATCTGACAATTGCACTGTCCTTTGAGAGGCCGTGTAGTCCAACCTTCCTTTTGTACCGAAATTGCTCACAACATCTCCACCAAGTGGTCACCCTAGCCTATGTTCTTGTGCTTTTCATCCTCCAGTACCAGGCCTGGTTTTGGAACTCTTGGGAAAGCCATGAAGCACATGGTTGGTGTTTGAATGGTCTCCCCTGAACCCACTATAGCTCAAGTCAGTTACCTTTGCTTCTTGTAGCAATCCACGCTTTTGGTTGAGCTGCTCTCATATTCTCATCACCGTCCTTGGGTTTGTCTCCAAGTTTCACACTTGAATCTCATTCCAAGTACCATCTTTTTTTTTTTTAAGTAATTTTATTAAATTATAAAAGATTCCATTTACGCCCCTCTTCCCAACACCCTCCCACTCCCCCCTCCCTCTCCTCCTCCCTCTTTGTCCCTAAGGGCAGTCAGGGTTTCAAGCCCTGTGGGAAGTTCAAGTTCGTCCCCCCTCCCTCCAGGTCCAGGAAGGTGAGTATCCAAACAGACTGGATCCCAAAAATCCAGTATATGCAGAGGAAACAAGTCCCAGTGTCTTTGTCAATGGCTTTTCAGAAAGACTCCGGGCCAGCCACATTCAGAGAATCCGGCCACATTCAGAGAATCTGGTTGGATCACGTGCTCGTTCAGTCGCAGTCCAACTGCCCTTGGTAAACTCTCATTAGATCCGTTCCCTTGTATCAGTGGGTGATAGCATCCCTCGCAGTCCTTCGTCATTTTCTTCCTCTTCTGCTCCTGATTTGGACCTTGGGGGGCTCAGTCCGGTGCTCCAATGTGGGAGTCCGTCTGTATCGCCATCCATCGCCAGATGAAGGATCTATGGTGAAAAGCAAAATATTCATCAGTATGGTTATGGGCCAAGGCCGGTTCAGGCACCCTCTCCTCTGTCCAGAGAACAATCTGGGGACCTCTCCTTGGACCTGGGATCCCATATATAATCAAGTTTCCTATAAACCCTAAAATGACTCCCTTAGTTGAAATATATTCTTCCCTGATCCCATATTCATCCTTCCTCCCTTCCCCCCATCCCGGTCTACCGAGCTTTCTCCATTCCTCCCCTACTCCCTTCTCTCTAACCCTCTCCCCTTCCAACAACCCTCCCACCCACCCCCCATGCACCAAGGTTACCTGGGACTCTTGACTATTTCCTACCTCCTGGCGGATAGCTAAATAATCTTCATCAGGTTCGTCTTCTTATTTAGCTTCTCTAGGATCACGAATAATAGGCTCAAAGACCTTTAAAATTATGGTTAGAATCCACTTATGAGTGAATACATACCATGTTCCTCTTTTTGGATCTGGCTTACCTCACTCAGTAAAGCGTTTTCTATGTCCATCCATTTGCATGCAAAATTCAAGATGTCATTATTTTTTACCGCTGAGTAAAACTCTAATGTGTATATGTTCAACCCCTTTTTTAACCATTCTTCTATTGAGGGGCACCTAGGTTGTTTCCAGGTTCTGGCTATTACAAATAGTGCTGCTATGAACATAGTTGAACAAATGCTTTTGTAGTATACTAGGGAATCTCTAGGGTATATTCCCAAGAGTGGAATTGCTGGGTCCTGAGGGAGGTTGACTCCCAGTTTCCTGAGAAACCGCCACACTGATTTCCACAGTGGCTGCACAAGTTTGCATTCCCACCAGCAATGGACGAGTGTTCCCCTCACCCCACATCCTCTCCAGCATAGGCTATCATTGGTGTTTTTGACTTTAGCTATTCTGACAGGTGTAAGATGGTATCTCAAAGTGGTTTTGATTTGCATTTCCCTGATTGCTAAGGAGGTTGAGCATGACCTTAAGTGTCTTCTGGCCATTCGAAGTTCATCTGTTGTGAATTCTCTGTTCAGTTCAGTACCCCATTTTTTAATTGGGTTAATTAGAGTTTTAGTGCCTAGTTTCTTGAGTTCTTTGTATATTTTGGAGATCAGACCTTTGTCTGATGAGGGGTTGGTAAAGATCTTCTCCCAGTCAGAAGGCAGCCTTTTTGTCTTACTGACAGTGTCCTTTGCTTTACAGAAGCTTCTCAGTTTCAGTAGATCCCATTTATTCAATGTTTCTCTTATTGTCTGTGCAGCTGGAGTCCTGCTTAGGAAGAGGCCTCCTGTGCCTATATCTTGTAGACTACTTCCCACTTTCTCTTCTATCAGGTTCAAAGTGGACGGATTAATGTTGATGTCTTTAATCCATTTGGATTTGATTTTTGTGCATGGTGATAGATATGGATCTACTTTCATTTTTTACAGGTTGACATCCAGTTATGCCAGCACCATTTGTTAAAGATGCTTTCCTTCTTCCATTGTATACCTTTAGCTCC